TCAAACTGGATACAGGCCTCAACAAATGTCTCCTAATGACTATTAATCATCACCTAGATTCTGCTTCATGCCATGTCTCCATGCAGAACTTGTTTTGCTGTCTTCTAAACGAGGGACCTGGTATCGAAGAACCTGCAGTCAAGAATCTAATTAGTGTATAAGTTTTGTGTTGGAGAGTATAATAAAAGTTTATTTTTAAAATGTTTTTTTATTTTAAAATATATTAAAATATTATTTTTTAGTTTTTTTATATTAAAACATGAAAAATATTTTAAAACTAAAAAAAATCTCAAATTTTTTATAAAACGCCTTTGAATTACAATGACGTATGTGCCATAATCTTCTTCCAATCTCCCGTGACACACACGCCCCTAAGTTCCTGCCCGACACACGTTTCTTCTCCAGTCTTGCGCATCCCGACGTGTCACTTTGAATTTCAGCAAAATCTTCAGGTTGCCAGCTGCATGTGAAATGTTTTTTTTTCCTTTTTTTAAAAAAAACTTTTATGTTGGAACTTTGAAGACTGGAAGATGGGCAGGACCCGGAAATACGTAGCCGTTTAGTATGCAATGGATTATTGTCTGCACTAGGTTAGATGAGATTTTTTTAAAAAAATATATACAAAAATATATTCAAATAATATTAATGTATTTTTTTAGATGCAAAAAATTAACTATGTGAGAATTGATTTATTGACTTGGTTAACTCATTATATTTAAAAATAATTTAGATAATCGATAAAAATATAGTTTAATTTGAAAAAAAAATCAAAACAACATATTTTTTCAAGTATTGAAAAAAAACATATTAAACCAACTTATATCAATGTGGTTTAATATGTTAAATCCGCTACGAAGATCGCGAGAATCTAATAACCCAACTAATAAAAATAAATAAATTACTAAACTAAAATCTCAACCACCACGGTGTTGAATGATGAATAAACAATAAATCGAGTTAACCTGAATTAACTTATTAAATTTGGATCATGAGTATGAAATAACCACGTAGAAAGCGAATCAAAACAAATTATAGAACTTCATTTTCTATTAATCTAATATTAAAGAATAAAATTAAAAAAATAATAATTAAAAAATAAACACAAAAAACCATCAAAATCAATCGACGAGACCCATGAATCTGGTTTTGAAACCAAGATAGTCTCATAAAACACAAACTAAAATAAATTATAGAGTTTAATTATCAATAAAACCAACATTAAATTATGAAATTTAAAAAAAAACTAGAAAAAAACAGGGTCAACCAGCCCAACCTACAACTTGGATCACAAGACATTAATAATGCCATAGAAAGTAAAAAAAATAAAATACAAAACTTAATTCACACTCAAACCAATGCTAAGGGATAAAATAAAAAAAATCAAATAAAAATAACAAAAAAATAGCTCGGATCAACCTGGATCAGTAAACCAAGACAACTCTCTATATATAATAAAAATATAAAGTTTAATTCTCAACTAACCAAACGTTGAATTATAAAATTAAAAAATAACAAATTAAAAAAAAGTTAATATGACTAACCTGTAAAATTCATAAACCAAGTCACGAGATCATGATAAATCTGTAGAAAAATAAATTTGAATCTCAATTCTTAGTCATCCTAACATACAAAAATGAAATTAAAAAAAATAACAAAAAAATAATTCGAGTTAATAGAGCTAACTTTTAAAACTTGCAATTCAAGTTACGAGTCCAGAATAATTTTATAAAAACAAAACGAAATAAATTATAAAGTTTAATATTTAATAAATTTAATGTTAAATAATTTAAAAAAAATCCAAGAAAATTTTGAAATTCAAAGCAATTTTGTTTTCGGCTTTTTACTGTTAATTAATACTGTGAAAAGCCAAACTCTAATGTTTATTGCTAGGGTAAAAAGCAAAGCTCTTTTAATATATAGTATTTAATTAATAATAGGACCTGTTCATTTTTTACCGTGTTTGCTGGGAGAGTTTTTTTTGTTTTTTTTTTATTAATATAAATATTCAAATCAACTTACACCCATCTCCATTATCATATTTGCTAGGTGACTTTGTTACTTGTACAGGTTATTGCCTTTATAAAAGTCTCTTCACAAAAATAAAATCAATGACGATTCGTTTGGCAACCATTCTATCTGAGCCCCCACAATTTTGTTCTTACCAAGATCGAGGCAGTGTTTCTTTGAGTGTCCGGATCATGTTTTTTAAAATTTTCAATTTAAAGTTATTATTTTTAATGTTTTTTTTTAAATTTTTTTGATATATTAATATTAAAAATAAAAATTATTTTAATATATATTAAAAAAAAACACTATAAAAATTAATACACACTACAATTCCACACACGCTTTAAGCACAGCAACTATATTTTTTCTTTTTGTAACCACAATAGCCATCTCCTTATTTTGCCCTTCACTGCATCTTTATCGTCGCAAGTTTTGTACCAAAGACAGAATCACGGGCACTTTTACTGTTGAAGGATGCAACACGAACTATACG